CAAAATGAGAAAATAGTTCTAATAGTCACATATTTGTCAGTTTATCATATTTACCATTATCAGACATTTGCCATATAGTTACCATTTCCAGTGCTTTTCATTCATTTTTGTAGATCTGAATTTCTATCTGGTATAAGTTTTCTTCTTGAAAAACTTCCTTTCATATTTCTTGTATCACAGGTCCTCTGACAATGAATTCTCTTGCCTTCTTTTCTGACATACATTTTTTTCTACACATAGAACTCTAACTTGATTTTCTTTTAGTACTATAAAAAGGTTGCTCCGGTGACATCTGGCTTGCATTATTTCTAAAGAGAAGATGCTAGCATTCTTAATGTTATTTCTTTGTGCATAATGTGCCTTCTTTTTCTCTGACAGCTTTTAAGATTTCTACCATCATTTTTCAGCAATTTGATTACAATATGCTTTGGTGTGATTTTCTTCTTAATCCTTTTACTTAGGAGCTTCTTGGGCTTCATGAATCTGTGGTTTGATCATTTTTATCAAATTTGGGCAAGTTTCAGATATTATTTCTTCCAATGTTTTTTCTATTTATATTTCTTTGTTCTTAATCTTTTCTGAGAGTACAACTATAGATCTACTAAACTGTTTAATATCATCACATAGTTCCATGAGGCTTTATTTTTTAGTCTTTTTCTGTTTTTTGACTTTCTATGTCTGTCTTCAAATTCGTTTAACTTTTTTCTCCTGTTGTCTTATCTCCTGTTAATTCCATCCAGTATACTTATTACTCCAGATACTGTATTTTCATCTCTAGCACTTGAATTTGGGGTTTAATATCTTTTATCTTTCCTTATCACATTCATCTTTTATTCTACATACTGAACCATATGGAGTATGTTTCTAATAGGTGCTTTCACCTCCTTGTCTAAGAATTCCATCATTGTGTCATTTTCTGGGTCTGGTTTGGTCAATTCTTGTATCTGTTTATAGGTTTTATTTTCCTAAGTTTTTTACATACCTAATAACTTTTAATTGTATCCTGAGCATTGTAAATTTTACTTTACTGGGTTCTGGATGTGTAAAGTATAGTTGGATTCTAAGAGAAAGTGAAGTTACTTAGAATCTGTTCTATTCCTCTGATACTTGATTTTAAGCTTTGCTACCACGGGGGAAGCAGACTTTATAGTCCAGGATGATGTCACCTCACACCAAGGATATATCCTTGTGAGGACTCTACTTAATGCTTCCTATATTAGGAAGTCTTTGCACTCTGACTGGTGGCAGCATGAACTATTCCTAGCCCTATGTTCACATTGGGAATAGTTTGCCTGATCCTTTTTGGCTGTTCCTTTCCCAGTCTTAGGTAATTTTTTTAACATACCTCATGAATTAGCTGAAGACTCTTGAAGATTCTCTGTTCATCTCTTTCTTTTTGTGAAGCAATCTCTTCTCCAATATTGTGCTGCCTCCCTGATCTCCAAAACTCTGACTCATCAACTCAGTAAGAACACTGGTCTGTTTGGGCTTCCTTCTCCTTGTGCTGCAGATGAGAGCTTTTATTTAACAGAGTAGGAGCAATTGTGGGACTCATAGTATTTTTTTTCATTCTATCCAAGATCATCCTCTTATGCTGCCTGTTATCCAATCTCTGAAAGCTACTTTTTTCCCCCCCACATATTCTATTCCATTTCCTGGTTGTTTAAAGGGAGAGAATAAATTAGGGCAGCCTTCCTGCCTAGAAGTGGAAGTTCTCTTAATACTAATGATCTAAAAAGTAGGAGTGGCAAACTCTAGCCTGTGGGCCAAGTCTGCTCACTACCTGTTTATATATAAAGTTGTGTTTACAATAGTAGAGTTGTACATGCTACAATAGTAGAGTTGAATGGTTGTGACAGAAACCATATAGTCTGCAAAACCTGACATATTCCCTACCTGGTTCTTTATAGAAAATAATTAGCAGAACCCAGACATAAAAGATTAAAAATAAAATATAATCGCATTCAAAGTCTAGACATTTTTAATTGTATAAAAAATGTAATCCATGGTAAATGTTAAAGATATTAAAGATTTTATTTTTCAAAGTGAAATATTTCATATTATTTACCAAAGTTAAAAGATAAAATGCATAGTAAAATCAGTATCAAATTTTAATCAAAGTTAAATAAGGCTTATACTTAGCATTTTAATTTGGAGCTTTTATTTATTATTACACATTAAAGCTCTGTATTAAAAACAAAATTATGCGCAATTCTACCTTTCAAGGTTTATCTGGATGACAATGCAAAACGTTTTCATCACACTTCCAGCATATTATGTCTACTCTGGACCAACATAACCTCAGATTTAGGAGAAAAATAAATTGGTTAGTGTTTTTCAGCCTCTGTGTCCAACGATTGCAAATGGCCATCACAATTTATGAATACCTCCTGGATCACTAATTGCACATAAAGGCAAACAAGGGAATAGACACTTGGTACTATTGAGAAATGATACTTCATTATGCAAGAATCTATTGCATTCATGCTGTCCCTGAGGAAGGATTTACAAGTCAATTAATGTGTCTTTTCTCTTCCCTCTGCAGCTTAAATCCCTAATGTCCCAAGCCAAAGTCTCCTTCATGTCATCAAGCAGTCTCTTTGTTTTGGAGACTTAAGAGATATGAATAAGTGATTCCCTGGAGCCTGAATGGAATTACTAACAACCATGGACATTTAGTCATAAGATTGGTTGTGCACACTGACTACCATATCCTAAATGACACTGAGTATGAGGCGTTTTAAAAAAAAAAAATCCCATGTGTTTATGTATTTACATGTCATGCACACATCAGTTTGAATATGCATGCACACATCAGTTTGAATATGGAGTCATATCTGATATTCAGGGTCCTTGAAAGGACATCTACCTACAAGATGTCCAAATCTAATGGTGTTATTAATGGAATCTACTGCATGCTTATATCACTTTCAAGGAAAAACAACAGAAAAGTGTCATGATGAGGAAAAAAAGAGCTGTCTTAAACATCACTGAGTATGACTATGTCTTTGAAAAAAAAAATAATTGATGGTGGCAGTCAATGTTTAACTAGGATGGGCTTTCCAATAACTTTTAAATTTATTACATAAATATAAATTTTTATTTATTCACTATTTTCCA